AGAGAGAGAGAGAGAGAGAGAGAGAGAGAGAGAGAGAGAGAGAGAGAGAGAGAGACAGGAGGTAAGATGGTATGAGAACTTTTGAATGTGTGAATGTGTTGGGGCAAAACTCCTGGGCTAGTCCTCAGTTTGACAAGTTCAAGGGCAAATTTTGATGTGCAGCCACCAAGCTGTGCTCTGCTACCCTGAGCTGAAACTGTCGCTCAGCATCATGTGGATGTGGAGAGAAGCCATCCTTCAGCCTCACAAGACTAGGTAATATCTGAATTGAGAAGGGTCCTCAGGTCATCCCGTTCAAACCTTTCAAAATGCAGGTGAGGAAACAGGTTCCGAATGGTGACGTCTATGCAGCCATCCACGCGCCGTCAGGCCCAGGGGCGCAGGGGGAGCACGACAGGCGGGGTTCCCACTCTGGAGAACTCAGCGTTGTGCAAGGTCACAAAAATTGGTGTCAGGCCCTGAACAGAACAAGAACTCAGACCGCAGAACCAGGGTCCACAGCTTTTCCTCCTATGTCTCAGCTTCACATTTACTGAGGATTTATACTGGAAGGACCTTGTCTGTGCCCTGGGGACATAGAAAATGAGCACCCAGTGGGGGACACAAGATAAAAACCCATGAAAAAAGATGGCCAAAGACTTCCAATACTGAGTTTGAATAAGGGACGGTAACTGCTATAAGATCTTGGGCAAGGGGGATATCAGCACACCCGTGGCAGGCTTTAGAGGAGGCAGCATTTGAGGCAAGCTCCTTACTTGCTGGGTGATCTTGGGCAAGTTAAATTACTTCTCTGAGCCTGTTTCCTCCTCTGTGACTTAATTCCTACTCACAATGCCGGAATGTTGTGAAGATGATAAATCCTGTGTGTGAAGAACTTGAGCAGAGTAAATGGCACTTGGACAGTCAGTGCTCATAAAAGAATAGCCATTTAAGGACAAGAAGAATCTGGACCTCACAAGAGGGGTAAAGAATGGAAGGCAAGAAAGGAGGGCTGGGAAGACATTTAGACTGGAGGGGTTACAAGAGATCATTCAGTTACAGGCAGAAGAGAGAGGTGGGAAAGGATGTGAGGTGGTTGGAACTTACAGAATAAATGACCTTGAACATCAAGGTCAGAAGAGCTGAGCTTCAGCCTGCGGATGTGGAAAAACTAGGAGTTAGGCAACCTGGATTTCAAGTCCAGTTCTGCCTCTTGGTTGAGGTGAGACGTCAGGCACGCTGCTATGGCGGGGAGTGTCAGTTCCCTTTCTCTGTAGAAGTGGAGCTAGAACGTCTTCCTCAAGTGGGGATCAGATCAGCTGAGTAAATGGGCCTTGAAAAGAGAGTCCTGTGCAGGCAAAAACACCGTGGGTGACAGAGCTCAGCAGAGCCTGCTGCCGGCTGAGGGTCTGCTGCAGGCTTGCTCCTGGGGAGGGAGACCTGCCCAGCGTCTGGTTTGGGAAGGGCGGCACTCAGGAGGCCCCACTCCCAGCAGCTCCACCAAGGTTTCTTGCTCTTCTGTCTAACTGGAATGCGTCCCCCCTTCCTCATCAGCTTGACAAACTCCACTGAGCCTCCACTCATCGCCTCCTTCCTCTGCAAAGGTCCTTGAATAACACCGTTTCATTCAACGTCGTTTTGTTATAATGTGGATGAGATGCCAATAGGAACAGTTTCCAGTTCTGGATTAAAGAGTGAAGATGGTTGCAGAGCACTGAAAATACTAAGAACCGCTGTATTATACATCCTTTAAAATAGTGAATTTTATGTTATGTGAATTATACTTCAATTAAAAAATAGGCTACCACTGGTGGGGTGTCTACTCCTATCAGATACCACCATAAGCCTCTTCACATATACGTTACTACACCTCACATCAACCCTGCAATTAAGTATTATCAGCCAGAGTGTTTTTCACAAAACAAGAAATGAGACTCAAAGAAGACCGTTAGGCAGCCCAGATGGGAAGGAACAGAGCCAGGATTTGATCCAGGTCTCTGCCTATCAAGTCCCAGCTCTGTTCTCTCTAAACACATGCCTGGAACATGGCAGAGCCAGAGCAAACATTGCATCAATGAATGAAGGCTGGAGATGAGGGCACCCGATTCCCCAGCCTGCACTTCACAGCAGGAGACCACTTTACTCCTGCTCTCCAACCAGACCCCTCTGTCCTCAGGAAGTCCCCAGAAGGCAGCAACAATCCCCAGGCACAACAGAAGCAGATTTAGCCAGTCCTCAGGGCCAAAATGGGTTTTCTGAAAGATGAGCTGAGTGGTACAGGAAGGTCTGAAATGACAGGAGTAAGTTCCAGAAAGGACTATAAGCAGATAGCACCTCTAATCATATGCCTCCTGACCTGGGTCCTGACTGCCCTGATGCTTGGCCAAGGGAGTCTTGAGGCTGCTCTAACTACCTCCTTGAGCTAACTACCTCCTGGCCCCATCCTAAAGCACATCAGTCTCCTCCTTGACCCGTGCTCCCTGGATGAGAGCTCAGGGAGACTTGGGGGCCTCCATTCAGTGCACACTTACTGAGCCCCTATTCTGGGTTGAGCACTAGGCTAAGTGGTCCTTGTCTTTTGGACCCTGATAACTAGTCGGTACCAAGAACCCCAGCCAGAGTGCAAGGTTTGACTTCCCGGGGGAACGCTGGCTCACAGGGGGCTAACCTCTGGCCTCCATGCCTTCCTCACGCTAACCCTGAGCGG